CTGTAGCGACAGCCTGGTGAGCTTTGATACTGTCTCAGTTCTGTGTACATAATCACAGTGTGTCGACAGGTTTTGCTTTCTTTACTTTCATGCTTTTCATGACAATACAGAATGAAAAATACTGCTTTTAAATTACCCTCAAGTGAATGTGGCATTGCCTTTCGTGAGAATGGATTTTATGGTCCTACTTACAGTGGAGTTTGTTTGTTTTAAATATATTTTTATTGATTTCAGAGAGGAAGGGAGAGGGGAGAGAGAGATAGAAACATCAGTGATGACAGAGAATCATTGATCGGCTGCCTCCTGCATGCTCCACACTGGGGGAATGGAGCCCACAACCTGGGCAGGTGCCCTTGGCCAGAATTGAACCTGGTACCCTTCAATCCGCAGGCCAGCGCTCTATCCACTGAACCAAACCAGCCAGGGCTTAAGGTGGAGTTTTACTGTGATTTTACTGAGGCACTGAATCAGACTGGTCCACAGAGCTCATCTCTCACTTACCGCCCTTTAACGTCACATTCGAGAGAAGTAAAAGCAGTCCATCCACTCATGAGATAAGCTCTCACTTTTGTTTTTGTTCTTAGGGAGCATGTCACCAGTGCCCTATGCATCCCGCTGGCAAGCCAGAAGCGGTAAGGATGGATAAGAGGGGTTTGTTTGCTTTGCTGTGATTGCTGGGCCGTTCCGGTCATGGCTTTTGTTTGTGGCAGGAGTTCCACGGGCCGCCCTGACTGGACCTGCATCGTGCTGGGCTTCACGTCAGGTTCCGTGCGCTTCTACACGGAGGTGAGCCCCGGGCCCCCTGGTCGGAAACAGCAGGGACTAGGACACCTAGTTAGGCACCACTGTAGTCGTTTGTGACTCCTTCCTGCCGGCTGGGAACGTGTAGTTGATGCTTTATGGGGGTGGAGGCTGGACAGGGGAGGGGCGGTGGTAGAAAGTTCTGGTAAGAGTGATACAGAAGAGAAACTGTATTCTTCTGAGAAAAGAGGACCTGGTGTCCGTGGAGAACTTATTGGGGATGCAGTACTCCTTGCCTGGCCGCACCGGCTCAGGTATGTTGGTGAGAAATCAAGCCGGGCCCTTCTCTGTGCCTCCTCCTAGAACGGTGTGCTGTTGCTCGCACAGCTTCTGAATGAGGACCCTGTGCTGCAGCTTAAATGCAGGACCTACGAGATCCCACGACATCCGGGCGTGACTGAGCAGGTATGTGAGAGTTCGTATTCAAGTACCAGTGGCTTTACCTGAAGTCGTGTCTTTCTCTGTATCAGGTGGAGAGGTAAAACTATCTTTGTCTGATGGCACAGTTAAGCTGTACGGTCACATTCTTGAGATACAACCAATTTACAGCTGAGCAAAGAGAATACCAGTCATGCTTTTACTTATTTAATGAAGTTTTGCATTAATTATTTAATGTTTGTTCTGCAGTCAAATAAAATATTTTAGTCAGAAGCCAAGAAAGGTTTCTTATTTTTAGAATTTAACAGTGACTTAAAACAAGAATGTGGCATTATATAACTTTATAATATAGTTTTAATTTGGATTTAAGTATCAAAATATATGTGCAAGGTGTCCCTCCAAAAATGTATCCACACTTTTTCCTGATAGCTCAATTGATTTTTCTTTCTTTTCAGATTTAATCCATTGGAATTAATAATTATTCAAACTATGTATACAATTTTGGGGGACACCCCATATATTCGATCCTTCCTTGTACCACCCTGCTTCCAAAGGTTTAAAGTTAACAGGTGTATATATTGTGTGCCTGTGGGGACTTAACTAGCATTATAGATGGAGTAGAGCTATGAGGACTGGAGCAATAGAAGAAATTAATCTTATAAGAAAGACTAAATTAATACCCATTAATTCCTATGAGAGAGTTAATTAGTAATGTAAAGCAATGCCTAGTTAATTACTGTGTAGCCATAATGAAAAACTACTTGTTCGCTTAGCAAAATGGAAAATCATGGACATATTATTGAATAATTAAAACATGTTATGGGATAATATATGTGGTATATTCTCACACAAAAGTGTATGATTATATGTGAGGATATGTACTGAGACCTGTCAGAGATTTCAGGTGAGTTTCCTTTTTTCTTTCTACTTTTATATAGTGTTTGTATTTGCGCAATGACTGTATTTTATTTTTATAAAATGTATACCTTTTTTGTTAATCTCACCTTGTATCCTAAAAGCATTATTCACCATGAACAAAAGTTTATATTCGAGAAGAATCTCAATTCCTTGGCCAAAAACTTTCTGAAATTAATTTTCCATTTATTTTTACTTTTCCTCTGCTTGTGTTGTTTTTTGTTGTTGTTTTGTGTTGGTGGTCGACAGTTGTCATAGTATTTTTTACTTTACATTAGTCATGACACTCAGCTCTAATAGGAAAATGGATACATTTATTTGGCAGTGATGATTTATTATTTTCTTCTTTCTTTGGTAGAATGAAGAGCTGAGTATATTATATCCTGCTGCCATTGTGACTATTGATGGATTTAGCCTTTTTCAGTCTCTTCGTGCATGTCGAAATCAGGTAGCAAAAGGTAATTTTTGGCAAGAAATAGCTAACTTGTGGTGATGTTTGTCTAATTTCATTTAACCTATTTAACCTGTGAGTTGCCAGAGGCGAGTGTGACCAGCACAGGAACAATGGGGTTGTTCACGGATTCGGCAAAATGTGCATCTCTAATAGACACGCTTTTCTACTAAGTCAGAATTCAGTTGAATTTTTATAGCTATTTCATAGTTTTTGAAATTTTGAAATTTAGCCCATTATAAACTGATTGTCTTGGGGACACTTAAAATAGTCACTATAGCCCGGCTGGCGTGGCTCAATGGTAGAGAGTCGATCTATGAACCAGGTCACAGTTCGATTCCCAGTCAGGTCACATGTCCAGGTTGCAGGCTTGATCCCCAGTAGGGGGCGTGCAGGAGATATCTGATCAATGATTCTCTCATCATTGATGCTCTACCCCTCTCTCCCTCTACCTTCCCCTCTCTGAAATCAATAAAAACATAAAATGTTATTACATTTTTTGTGATTTTTAAAAAATATAAAACTTCACTGTACTCATTATAGTGAAGTTGGTTTGTCTAATTTTTGTCTTTGACAGCTGCAGCTTCAGGCAATGAGAACATACAGCCACCACCGTTAGCTTACAAGAAATGGGGTCTGCAAGATGTTGACACTATCGTTGATCACGCTAGCATTGGTAAGTAAGCATTACTAGCTCAGTTCTTTTGAAATTTACTTTCTATTCCTTTTGATTGCAGGATCTCATTGATTCGAACTGTAGATTTATTCTTATGTGAAAAGAAAATGCATTGCTTTTAGTGAGACACGTGGAAGTTAGTTCAGACTTTCACTATTTGATTTGATTTTTCTGCAGACAAGTTTAATCATATAATTTCCCTATAGATTAGTGTTTTTAAAATGTAACCTTTAAGCCAGCAGAATATAGAGAAAAGCAGATTTCTCCTTGAAACCAGTATTTGAAGGCTCACCGTGCTAGGCCTCGGGAATAGAGCCAAGAAGACATGGTCGCTGCTGCCAGGAAGTGTGTGTGTCGTGGGAAGAAACCGTGGAATAGGTCCAGGACCACAACCGAACGGTCGTTGGAGTGGACGGTGGACTGCTGCGTTGGGAGCAGGGGGAGGCCCGGCACTGAGGGAGTGCGGAAGAAGGGTGGACTTTAATCCGGGACGGGAAGAAGAAGGACTTGGCCAAGAGAACAGACACAGAGAAGGCATTCTTGCCACGCAGGCATGAGGGTGGAAGTGCATCGTCTTCTGGAAAAACAGTGGATCCCAGGAGAACTGGCAGGAGCGAGGCCAAGTTTAGAAACAGGAGTCAGGTTTTGAAGGGCCCGGTGTGCTCTCCAGGAGGCACTGAGAGCCTTCCCACAGCCACACTGGGAGCCACTGAGGAATGGTGAGCAGGAGCATGACACTATCTCAGCCTGTTAGGAAAACCACTGGTGGAAGTTCAGAGGTCGCGATGTAAGGGTCAAGACTAGGAAATGAGTACAGTAGGGAAGTGCAATAATCTTGGGAAGAAGTAATGGGCTCCCGAGTTAGGGTAGTGAAACGGGGTGGAGTTGAAGAACATGCTATTTTAATATTTTTTCTATTTGTCAATGTAATATTTGCTTGTTAAAAATGTAAATAGTACATAAACAGGTAAAGAGAAAAGGAAAACAGTATCCCCTTACATTCTACCATCTAAAGATACTTATCATTGGCATTTTTGTAAACATTCGTTCAGAATTGTATGTGTGCCATTATGTATGGTTATGTAGACAGGCTTTCAAAACTAGGATTATTCATACCAACTATTATAGCCCTTTTCTTATCAACATATTATAAAGAGGCTTTCACATCAATTTTGCCAAATGTACGTTTTTATCAGAGTCCTAATAGAAGACAGGTGACATCTTAAAAATAGCATCATTGAAAGGGGGTTATTTGCAGAGAAACTATTTATAAAGTGTGAGACCCACCCATTCGGGATAGGGTCTCAGGGCTGGTTAACAGCACAGCTGTTACCCACTCCCAGGCCTAAGAGATGAGGGCCCAGAGCAGCGCCAGGACTTGGGGGTGAGGAGTAGGCTCAGCACCTGAGAGCAGGCTCTGTCTCGGGTGCAGGCAGGGGAGCTGGAGAGAGGTGGACAGAGTTGAGACGTCCTTTGCCCTTGCGAAGGGATGGGCTTTTGTTCAGTGGTCATGGGAAGTAGGTATCCTGACCTCATTCTCCTTACTCTCTTTGACCCAGCTGTCTGACCCCAACTGCAAGTCCTCAGGATCGGCACACTGGCCCCGGGAGTGAGCAGGGAGAGAGGGCAGGAGTGTGAATCTAGAGGCCAAAAAGTAGATGTTGGACAGATGGTCTGTTTACTGTTGCATAGGATTGTATGCAATCCTCTGTGTTAACACCTTACTGGTAGACATTCAGTTTGTCATGACTCTTTTGCTAAAATAAAATTGCAACAAAACTCCAAAGTGTTGAGTTCAGTTCAGGGTAGCATCCCTGTGCTGTTAATTAAACTTTGGAACATTGAAACAGGCTAGGATAAATGAGTGGGTAGAAAAATCTGACTCTATTCATTTATCTCCCAGCCTACAAAATGAAGAAAAAAAAGTGCAGTGGACTTTATGCAAAGGTTTGATTAGTTCATTCAGCAAATAAATGAACAAGTGCCTGTTGTGTCCCAGCAGCTAATATTGGCGCTAGAAATGCAAGGCAGACGGATGAAGTGTACATTCTGGTGATAAGGAGACAAACAGTATGGTAACAGCAGAGTGTTAGACGCATCAGGAGTAAATCATCAGAGTTGTGATAAAGGAAGAGGGTACTCCAGGGGGGCCTGTGAGGAAAGGCCTGTCCAGGGAAGTGGCATTCAGACTGAGACATGAGGGTGAGGAGGAGCCAGCTCTGGGCAGAGGCGCCAGGAGAACATTCTCAGCGGAGGGAGCAGTGAAGATAAGATGTAATGGTTCATAGCTTAGAGGACTTACAGGTGCACTTTTAACCTTACAAGTACATTGTGATAATTACTTTTGTAGCTTTTAAAAATGACTTCTATCTGTGAAATTGAGCGGTTAATGTCCTCGAATGGAATTGAAGTAAACATTCAATGGCCTACACTGACAGGGTCCTTTCAGTGCGTTCAGGTCATGCCTTGTTGTCGCTTGATCACTAGGTATTATGACGCTGTCCCCTTTCGATCAAATGAAGACTGCCTCCAATATCGGCGGATTTAACGCAGCCATTAAGAACAGCCCACCTGCCATGTCTCAGTACATCACTGTCGGGTCCAATCCGTTCACTGGCTTCTTCTATGCTCTAGAGGTAAGAGGTTCCTCGCTGGTCATGGGTAAGGCCGCAGACTGAGTTTTCACCTTGTCTAAAAATGGCTGTGGTACCTGAGCCTTACAAAGGTTGAGCAGTTTACGTTGCTGAGTTTCAGTCTAAGCTCATATGAATCTCCGCTGGCTTTCTTCTCAATTCTTTAAATTAACTGAAAGGTACTGAAGGCAGTGTAAACAACTGAACTTTGTTTCTGTGGCCCGAGTTCGTGGACACCGCGTTGCCTTGGATACTGTGGGGTGGTCAGAAGCTCGGGGTGTGGACCAGCCCCCCCGGGTTTGCATCTGTGAGGATTGTCAGGACAGAACTGGCTGCCAGCTGTCGTTATCCACGTGGTGAAAATGGCTCCTTAAAACAGGAGACAGTTAGATTTGGCAGCTCTTACTTCTCGCTTGAAAAGCAGCCTTCTCAGAATTGCCTAACCTATCTTTTTACTTTAGTAAAATATATATATATATATTTTTTTTAAAGAGGGCAGAGAGCAAGTTGTGTATGGTTGGGAAATCCACAGCCCTGATATAGTAATGCCATTTTAATATCCTAGTTTAAAAGTTTCAATTAAGTTACAACTAAAAGAGGGAACTCCTAAAGATAAAACGCCAGTGGCTTTGACGTTGACACTTTGATGACACTGCTACCTCCTGAAATAAAGTGACTATACTCCCCTTAAGGAGCTGCATAGGTTCTTGCTATCCAGGCTTTACAGCTTTTTCAGACTTTATAACGCAGGCCTCGTTTAGAAAGGCTTAGAAAGCTACCCTGTTCCTTTGTCAGCGGGCACGTGTTCTGTCTTCCAGGGAAGCACACAGCCGTTGCTCTCTCACGTTGCCCTCGCCGTTGCCAGCAAACTCACTTCTGCTCTGTTTAATGCCGCCAGGTAATCGCATAACAATTACATTAAGCTGTCTCTACTTTGTCTAGCTTGGTTTGGCTTCTAATGTGATAGTCTGCACTTGGACGCTCTGCGAGCCCCGGTTTTATTCTCACGCTCTCTTTCCAGTGGTTGGCTTGGTTGGAAGAGTAGGCACGAGGAAGAAGCTGTCCAGAAGCAAAAGCCAAAGATGGAGCCAGCCACCCCATTAGCTGTAAGGCAAGTCGGCCATGCTCTTCTCAAACTGGGGTGGTTTTGGAAACGTTCTGTGGGATTTAGGGTCTTTCGATGAGCTTAGCTGATTCGTTAACCTTATGAGTCTTTGGAGCCTCTAAAAGTCACTGGTATGGGATGACTTTTCCAGTAGAATGTAAACTCCCGAGGACAGCCGTTCTTGCCTGTTTCATTCACTGCTGTCTCCCTGTGACATCACAGGGGCTCAGTATGTATTTGTGTGTGTGTGTGTGTGTGTGTGTGTGTGTGTGTGTGTGTTGTTGTTGTTGTTTTACAGATACCTGTAAACTTAGCTTCTAAGTCGCAGGAACATTAACTCTGTGATAGCTGATGAATTTCTTTTTAAAAATAGTTTGGTTTGTCAGTAAGCTATAAAAATAAAAAATAAAAATACTTAGTAATTTCTTTAAAAAAAAAAAAAAAGAAATGAAAACAGGAGCCCCCTGCATTCAGGCCCTCTTCAGAATGCTGGCTTTGCCTCTTTACTTACCTCCATCCTTAGTGCTGTCAGGTTTGGAGAGGAGAAGAGGTGTTTTTTGCTAGATTTTGTTTTAAAATTATTTTTTATTACCTAATATAAAGAACCACCATGAAGGGAAGTAGAAACACTCCCTTCCCCCTTTTAGATATTCTTTACCTAAAGAGATATAACTAATTATGCTACCAAAACTTATTAAAGTTTCTCTCCTAAGGTTTTTTCATCTTATTTTAAAATATGCCACATTTTTAAATTCATTCAGGAATCAAGAAATAAACCAAATGGCCCGATGCATCCCCAACAGATGTAGCGAAGTTGAGCCCTTTGTTTGCCTCAGGGACTGTCATCAAAGTGAGCTCTCCTGGTCCTTTCTCAGTACCGTTCGCTCTTACTGTACTTACAGCTCTAGTGCGATTGGTTGGTTACAGACCAGGAGCAGCTTAGAGAGAAATATTTAGAAGGGAAGTTCTCCCTTCAAGCTAATTAACATTGGTATCAGCAAGATGTGATACCCAGCAAAGAGAAAACAGGTTAGGAATAAGAACTTAAAACAGACGGCACATGCCTGTGGAGGAGCCAAGTTTTCTAAAATTTCGCTGGTTGTGAGGGTGTTTTCCATGACATACCGCTTAATCAAGGAGAGATGGTTATGACGCACTTGATGTTCCCTGAAAAATAAGGTCGTGCGTATTTACATAGAAAACCTATAACATAAATAGATGTTTTCATTTTATAACGGAGGAAACTTCTTATAGTGCAAACTGTCATATGTAGGTAATTATTAGTCCATGCAAGGTTCGTATTTCTTTATGTAAAAGTAGATTCAGCCTATGTCATTTACACATTTCATGATTGTGGTATATATCTCTAGATTGGAATGTGATTTGAGCTTTTTGTTTTCTTTTACATTTCAGGTTTGGGCTTCCAGATTCTAGACGCCACGGTGAGAGCATTTGTCTGTCTCCCTGTAACTCTCTGGCAGCAGCAACGGATGATTTTGGCAGAGTTATTCTATTGGATGTAACCAGAGGAATCGCAATACGCATGTGGAAAGGTATGTCCTTACAAACATCCAGGAAAAAAGCTTAATTTGTTTAAGCAAATAGTTGAGCAACATGATCATTCTTTAGCTTCTGGTTGATCTGTCTAATCCTTTATGCTTTTTTTTTTTTTTTAACATGAACTGGGATTGGCAACACTTGATCCAGAAATCCAGTTGATATGTCTTTAAGTTTGATGAACTCATAGGCCCGTCTAACCTCTTTTTTATGTTCTTTTCAATTCTCTCTGTCATTGTCAATTTCTGAACTCAGTTTTTTTGCCCCGGCCACATTTATTCCACTTCACAAGGCTATGTTTGAGTCAGATGTTCTCCCCAAAGCTAGAATGCCGAGCCTTTCAGATTTAAGAAGCAAAACCTAGCGAAATCCATCTTCGCTGGCTTGATTTCTCTACCGTATGCTTGGCCACTTCACTTAACGTTATTGGTAACTGTGTCAATTGGGAGTTGCATTTGGCTGCTAATATCAGATCCAAGTACAGGATTGATGTGAAATCACCACAGTGTCCTCAGGAACCCAGTGTCCTTCCATGTAGCTTCCCCACTCAAGGTCCTCTCATGGTGCAAAAGGCTGCTGGAGCTTCAGCCCTCTTGTCTGTATCCCATGACGGAAGAAGGGAAAGGAGTCAGTCTACTTTGAAGATACTTCCTGAAGCCCTCCAACCTTTTTCGATAAGATATTAGCCAGAAGTTAGTCACATGGTCTTACCTAACTGTTAGGAAGGCTTGAAAATATGAAGTTACATTGTCGACCTGAACAAAATAAAAAGTCTTTGACGAAGGAAGAAGTGGAGACTGCATCGTTGGGAATCACCCGAATAACAGCATGTGAGCACAGGTTGGAAACCACAGTTATGGTGCAGTCTGGTCTGCACTTGGCATAATGGACTCGAGGACATTAAACTACCCTGGACCGGATGGAGTCCATTCTCATCTTGCTGACGAATTCCTACAGCAATCACTGGCCACGTGCCTCAGTGTCTGCAGAAGAGGGTTCAGTGCTATAGACACATCATTCCTCCGTGATGTTCGTCTTCTGTAGCAACATCAAGTCTGTGTTCTCAGCAAGACTTGCCCCGAACCTGAAAGGCGCAGGTGTGCCAACTGGCCCAGATCCCCTGTGATGGGCGTGTTGCTGGCCTTGCTGCTCACCTTTTGGCCCCCAGTGCAATCAGTTCTCCTCCCTGTGCTGGGAAGAGAGGCATCGATGGCCTGTGAGAGCGGCCACCTCCCTTCACTCTGCGGCCCACACTTTCCCTCCATCTGCCCACCACCAAGGAACTTGAGTAACAGGAAATCAGTTTGATCTCTTCCTTAAAGTTTAAACTGATAAGAACAGATACTACACTTGATCTTAGCCAAAAGGCCGAGAAGTGATAAAGTTTAAATGGACTGTTGTTTCAAAACCCAACCTGATCATCTCCCCAGAGTGTTTTAAAGGAAGAGAGTTTTTAAAGAGAGGGAGAGAAGGGAATCAGATGGGAGGTTCACGAGGCTTCAATGACACCTGTTTTCTTCTTAAAGAAAAAAGCAATATGAAGCAAACTGAGCAAAATACAAGATTTAATAAGACTTCTTGGTTGATTCTATATTTATTATAATGGTTAGTAGTTTC